GTGTGTGTGTGTGTGTGTGTGTGTGTGTGTGTGTGTGTGTGTGCGCGCGTCTGACTGCATGGAGCCATTAGCTGTAATATATCCTTTCCTCTCCGTCTGTATTGGATCCCTGCGTTCTCTCCCCAGCTTTCTGTTCCTGCCCTCTCTGTTGGTTTTTGAGTATTTGAAAGGAAGCTACAAGTCATCACCCCTCTCTCATGCTGCATATAATTTCAGTCGTCCCTTCACGCTCACGTGCACTTTCACACGCACACATACACTCAGGTTGAAGTTCTGGTTAGAGTTGTAATTCTCTGTCCTCACATGGCTTGCTGATGCTTAATGTAAGTTCTCTGTGTACATTAGGAGATCTGTTTAAGATCAGGCTTACTGTGTCCCGTTCTGTCAACAGCTTAAAAATGCTGACTCTGAGGTGTTTGCATGCGTGTGTGTGTTTTGTTAACAAGCCCGTTTCCGTCTTCATTATTCAATGTCTTTTTTTATAAAAGAGCTGGAATGAAATGAGCGTTTCTGTTGTAGAAAAAATAAAAAAGAAAAAGACATTTCAATCAAACACATTCACATTTGCAATAACACAAATAAAGAGACTTTTGTAAAGTCATACATGACAAATTTCTGGGGGGATTGACAAAAAGCAAGATTTTTTTTTCTTACCGTCATACTTCAAAGTTGATCGAACTGTCATCAATCCCATTTAAAACACAAGCTCTTTTCTTAACAGTAGTCTGAACCAACCCTGATTATCTAATCAGAACTTTACGTTATAGCTTCGGACCTATTAATAAAACTTATTTTACAAAAAAAAAATCTTATTGTATAAGGTTAATGGACCCATTTAAAGACAAAACATCTGAAAATCACCTCACTTATCTGTCATTCTGTTCTTTCTCTACTTCACTTTTATTCACTTATCTTCTTCTAGCTGTCAAATAAAAGCTTAACATTCCAAAAAAAAAAATAGTTTGAATGCCTGGTAAAAGTAGCATTAGGGTATGATATCAAGTTCTACACCTGGAAACAGTTTAGAGAGAAGCGACAGAACGAAACAGTGATAAAGAGTACTGACTTTTAATGAAGTATAGGTATTACTATGTTTGTAAAAAAATACAGTTTAGAATAGTGTAAGCAAAATGAGTAAATGAAAAATATTTACTTACTTATATGCACATGCATATTATATTTTTTGCAGTTATGTTGTACAGTGTTTTCCACTCAAGTTTTACTACTGTCTGGAATTGTGGTTTGGTGTGGTTTGACTTTAAAAACACAATTATAAGGAGGATATAAATGCTTTTATTTTGATGTTTAAAATGAACACACGATTGTTCTCTGTCTTCAGGTGTTGGTTCAACCAAAGTAGTGGCTTTTTTTGCTTTCCTCAATGGCCGCTACCCACCTGCTGACCTGACAGGAGACATCGTCGTGTCCTATCTCTTACCTACAGGTAAAAAGGCATTTCTGATATGTCTCGTATCGATTTCTGAGTTTAAATGTTTTATTTAAGTTTGATTATGAATTGAATATATATATATATATATAT